TTCAGTTCGCTTAGTCGAGCCACCTGGAATTCGCATCCATCGAGCTCTCCATCACGACAACTAACCTCACAGCACACCGGAGTCGAGCAAAATGTCGACATTCGAACCCGTCATTGTACGTACGCCCCGATAGACGCAGCCCGATATCCCAGGCACTGGCCTTCGCATGCCGCCGCGATGCCAGCCTGCAATCCCGTCAACACCACGCATCTTCCTTGGACGTCTCGCTGACAGCGCACGCAGGTCATCGACGGCAAGGGCCACTTGCTCGGTCGCCTCGCCAGCACCGTCGCCAAGCAGCTCCTCAACGGCCAGAAGATCGTTGTTGTGCGATGCGAGGCCCTCAACATCTCCGGCGAGTTCTTCCGCGCCAAGTGTACGTACACCCACCGAACGAGCGAGCGAGATCAGGAGCAAGCCATGGAGTGCAATTGGTACATGGGGCTACAAGAGGATGATGTGGCCGGCGATTTGCACTTTGGCTGCTTTTTGGCGGAGCGCTCTAGGGACAATTTTCTGGCAAGACAGCAACTGACATGACCCTACAGTGAAGTACTCTGCTTTCCTGCGCAAGCAGACCCGTTACAACCCCACTCGTGGTGGTACGTCTCCCCGTCCATACATGGCGCATTCGCGGTCCAACGTCGAATGTGCGCGTTACTAGCCGTCATGTGCTGACCCATCTGCCAGGTCCCTTCCACTTCCGCGCTCCCTCCAAGATGTTCTGGCGAACCGTCCGCGGTATGATTCCTCACAAGACTCCCCGCGGTAAGGCCGCCATGGAGCGCTTGAAGACCTTCGAGGGTGTCCCCGCTCCCTACGACAAGAAGAAGCGCGTCGTCGTTCCCCAGGCCCTGAGGGTGCTGAGGCTCAAGCCCGGACGCAAGTACTGCACTGTCGGCCGTCTCGGACACGAGTTCGGCTGGAAGTACCAGGACGTCGTTGCCCGGTATGTCGCTCCAATTCCTGCATGCGAGATCAGAAATGCTAATCCATACGCAGTCTTGAGGAGCGCAGGAAGGTCAAGGGTGCCGCATACTACGAGCGCAAGAAGGCTATCCGCCGGCAGATGGCTGAGGCCAAGAAGACGGCCTCCGTCGACTCCAAGGTCCAGCAAGAGCTCACATCCCTCGCATACTAGAAATCGGCAGTCGATGAACAGTGTCGGTTTCAGTTTCGGTGACGTGGTTCGGCGTGGATTGCATTGGGCTCATGGGATGTTTATTTCCTCTACTATACTCCGACCATTCGAAAGGGTGTCCAGGCTAAAAGAGCACATCAATACCAGGGTGCTTACGTGTTCATGGGTCTCTTCGCGGTCGGTCTGCTGTGTCTTCAGGTACTCTTCCGGCTAGAAGCAATACGAAATGAAAAATCCCAGCTGATGTAAAGCATGGTGACGGCGTTGAGCATTCAGCAATAGACTTGTGGTTATGTTAATTCACTCACGATTCCCTTTATGCTTTGCCACCCACCTTGCCGTGACTTGATGGACAAGTACCTTGCATAACAGACTCGTAGTCCGACATGTCTGCTATCCGACGCGGTCGGGAGGATAGGGTATGCCTACTGGCGCTTAACCTCGGCTGTGACGTCGTGCCGCACCGGAACCGGTACCCTTCCCCAGGTTTCCCCATGGCTGGGAGCTTCAGGGTCGGCTGTCAGCCATTGCGCCCTGTAAGAAACGTATCAGACCACGTTGTTCAGAGTATCGCGACATCCTTCTTTCCGCTGTCGCGCACCCCTGTCAAAAATCGCGTCCTGCAGCCCTCTCATCGCTCAAGACCTCGGACATCTCTCGCATCTCGTCCCACAGCGGAGCTACTCCGCACTCTGGCGTCTGTAGCTTCAGCTCAGCTGGGCCAAACTGTAGATCAATATTTCCGTCGCGTGTATATAAGCTGCTATTAAAACGTTGATCAACCAGATCCTCGTGCAGATACCATGGAAGGTGCTAAAGATCGTCTCAAGCAACTCGCGTCGCATTTCACGTCCGCCAACCCTGTCCCTGGGCCACCGCCCATCCATCCCGGCGACAGCCACGAATACCATCATCGACACAACTTCCACACCCTCAGCCCAACATGGTTCCTCTGGCGCGCGGCGCAAATCGAGCCAGACGCCATGGCAATATACCACAAGACGGCGAACGGCAAGATCCTACGGCGCTCTTACGCTGAAGCTGCGGACCGCGCACGAGGGCTGGCATACTACCTGAGGAAACACGGGTATAAGAAAGTTGGCATATTGGCGACGAACACACCAGCATTCCTGGAGAGCACATTCGGTATCGCGGCGGCTGGAGGTGTGAATGTCGCTATCAACTACCGGTTGAAGCATGATGACATCAGTTACATCTTCCAGCACTCGGACGTGGACATGATCATTGCGGATGCCGAGTTTGTGGGCTTATTGGACGAATACAAGAAGGAAAGACCAAACGTACCCATACTGATTGACACAGACACGGATGCGACAGAAGGTGAACTCTCGGGCCCTTTCGACGATGCAGTACTCGAGGGATTGAAGTACGATATTGAGCAAGGAGGCAAGGGCTGGGCAGATCTGGAGTCGCAGGCGAGGGACGAAGAAGACGTCATGGCACTCGCATACACCAGCGGAACAACAGCACGGCCGAAGGGGGTCGAATACACACATCGCGGCGTCTACCTTGCTGCCATGGGCAATGTCATCGAGTCTGGGCTGAACTATCATACCGGCCGCGCAAAGTATCTCTGGACTCTGCCAATGTTCCACGCGACGGGTTGGACATTCCCGTGGTCAGTCACCGCCGTCCGTGGAACGCACTATTGCCTCCGCAAGATCGACTACGCAGAGATCTGGCGCCTGCTCAAGGAGGAAGGCATCACGCATTTCAACGCCGCACCAACCGTCAACACCCTCCTCTGCGCAGCGAAGGAAGCAGAGCGCCTACCCCAGCCAGTCAGAGTCACCGTAGCCGCAAGCCCACCGAGCGCATGGCTCTTCGAACAGATGTCCAACTTGAACCTACACCCCGTCCACGTCTACGGTCTTACGGAAACGTACGGTCCGATCACGAAAGGCTACCACATGCCCGCATGGGAAACGCTCCCCGAGAAGACGAAATACGATCGTATGGCACGACAAGGCCACGGCTTTATCATGGGCAAAGCGACGCGAGTCATCAAGACTGAGCAGCCGGAAGGTGTCCTCACTGACGTGGAAAGAAACGGCAAAGAGATTGGGGAAGTCATCTTCGAAGGCAACATCTGCGCAAAGGGCTACTACAAAGATGCCGAAGCGACGCGCAAGTTGTGGGAGGGCGGCTGGTTGCATACAGGCGACCTAGCTGTTTGGCATCCAGATGGAGCAATCCAGATTTTGGATCGTGCGAAGGATATCATCATCAGTGGTATGTTGTTGACTTTCCGAACCTCACTCTTTTGAAGCGACTTGCTAACCGAATGGCTCACAGGCGGCGAGAACATCTCCAGCGTAGCGCTCGAAGCTATGCTTTCCACGCACCCCTCCATCCTCGAAGTCGGCGTCTGCGCCGTGCCGGACTCACACTGGGGCGAGCGGCCCAAGGCTTTTGTTACCACAAAGGACGGCACAAACAGCGACACATTGGGTGGAGAGGTGATTCAGTGGGCCAAAGAGAACAGCAACATCAGTCGCTTCATGGTGCCCAGGGAGGTTGTGGTTGTCAAGGAGTTGCCTAAGACGAGCACAGGGAAAATACAGAAGAATGTCCTTAGGGAGTGGGCGAGGAAGGGCAGTGTAGAGTAGCTGTGCTCATGGAAACGTATCATACCTCCTCCATGGGGCCTCTCAGTCACAAACACAGATGCGGAGTCATGTTTCTGCACCACGCGTGAAGTCTGAGCACATGGTGAAGCAGCGTGGTAAGGGAAGCAATCGATGCTGCTTCTCCATTGAAAAGGAACTCAATGAGCCTGGGGTTCTGACTCAGAAGTCAACTGCTCTTAATCAATCCATCATGTTTTCACCTGACGGAGCTTTCATCAACACGAGCGAGATACTCAGCGATGCCGAGGCTCAAGCAATCCACAATAGAGTTCAGGACGAGGTTGCCGCTGGGAATATTGCTGACGGACGTGTGGGAAAGTTCAAAGACGATCCTCAATCCGCAGCAGCTAAAGCATATGCCGATTCAGAAGTTTCCAGGCGACTGCGCGCGGCTATTTTACAGGCTGAAACTAAAGCTAGGGCCGGACAGGGAGATGAGGATGCAGGTAAATATCCCTCGTTATTCTGCTTAATGCTGATCAGCTGACTCATTGAACGATTCTGAAGCATCTGCAACACAACTACTGGAACAGTACAAAGGCTTTGTCCTCTCCAAGCTGGCTGTATCAGAGGAAGTTCAGAGCCAGATACGCGGGCTGTTTCAAAAGTACGGTTGGCCAACAGTCTGGCAGTCTCTTGACTCAATCGAGGGCTGCGGAGATGGTCCTACATGGACTTGGCAAGATGTGGACAATGACCTGCTCGTGAGGCTGGGGGACGAGAAACTGCTGGGAATGAATAAGATAGGAGAGTACATTTTCATTGGTATGCGAGTCAGCCAGTGTCGTGACCAGTATAATTCTCTGACAACGGAATAAGAGGGGGGTTTAGGATATGTGTATAGTTTTGCTGTATACACACTGGATTAGCTGAATTAGCAAGATACTGTCGTTGTGACCCTTCGCCGAGGATCGCACCCTCTGTTGAGGGTCACCGGAAGTGCCGGTACGATTTCAATACCACGTGCCCCCTTACAAACGAAAGAGTACCTAGGTAAACACCAATATGAGTCCTACGTCAACGTAATATCTTGGGTCGCAATGATACGCCGTGGCAAGCACGACCCCGTCCTACTGACTGATATCGCATCAAGTTTGTACGTCAGCAAACGGAGAGTATTATATAGCGCTGAAGCCATCCCTCGTGTAATTCCTAACTGATACCTATCATGGCCTCCACATCATCTAGTGCACATGTTCCCGCACCAGGCCCAACTATGGCGCCTACAACTCAATCACCTGGTAACCAAGCGCTAAATGATATCGAGAAAATCCGGGATCTGGTCGCACGACGCAACCGAGCGCTCGACTCCTTATACCTTGACCAAGAAGAGAAAGATGAATTACGTAAGGATTTGAATCAGACAGGTTGGCCGGTAACTCTTTGTAAAGGTGGCTCACAGGCAATGAGGGTCATGAATGAGTCGTTCGATACCCGCGATCTCTATGCACTGCTCTGTATCATGCGACACATGATCATACGACACCCCGATGTTGTGCCCGACGAATTGAATCTCTTCTTCTTGAATCAGGACAGCAAGAAGTTCAGCAATAAGTGGAGCAAGATGCAACAGAAGTGCAACGATAATTGGAATGAAGCAGATGACGAGGACCTGATAAGGCTGTACGAGGGCGTCAACAAGACTTTCAAGGATATTGCTAGTGAGAACTTCCCAGACTTTCGAGAAGCCGCGAAAAAGTTTCCGGAACCAGGTATCCTGATCGAGATTGCGCATCTGACAGCTAAGAAGAGGTTGACAGCTAAGGAAAGGAAAGCGAAGCAGATGGCGTTAGCAGATCAATGAAAAGCAGTACAAGGGTAGTGGGAGTCTCAACAACTGTTGGGAGTACTCAAAGCTTACCGCAACTCTATGAACATCCCAAGTCTCCCAATATCTGTAGAATGAATAGTACATGCCTTCATTGCAGTCAGTGATACCTGTGTGCGTACTGCGCGTGACGTATGGAGCACATGGCGAAGCCATGCGGATACGAAAGCAATCGATACTGAGAACGTAATGGGAATAAGAAGACATTCAACTCACCGAATCTATAGCCAACTCCACCTATCCGCCATCACTCACCCTCAATCTCAACCACATCCACCAACCACAGCATGTCGTCGAACGACCCAGTCGCCACTGCCTCCGGTAACACAAGCACGATACTCAGCAACCTGGAGTACTTGTTCGTCTATAACGGTCTAGCAGACGTGATAGCTACCGAGAGTCAAAGAGACGGACGGACGGGCCCGTTTGCCGATGCGTATGCTAACGCCCAGATGTCTCTACGATTACCTGCGGCGGTTGTACGTGCTGAGGAGCAGAAACTAACCATGGTAGCCCATCTCGCAGCGAGAAAGAAGAATGATCAGGGATCTGGTGGTAATAACCAAGGAGTTGAAGGTAATGAACGAGCTGGCCAGGACTACGACGATGGCACAGGTAGCAGTGCAGGTGACAGAAATTAGGTCGCCAGGCGAGAACAATACTGTGTCGCCGCCCCAATTGAAAGATTACACGGAGCTGTAGTCAGCAGAGATACATAATGGATGTAGCCTCTTGTTATTGGGAGGTGATGTTACCAAGAGTGTGAGAGATGGATGCTGGCACGTAGCTTTCAATTCCACGATCGCTGAGACTTCCAAGCTAGCGCAAGCTGCTAGCCCATCTGGGCGTGTGACTTCCGTAATCCCCATAAGCTTGGAAGGGCGTTGATCTCCAGATAACTGAGCTGAATCACACCAAGCTGTTGCATCGACGCCTTCGTCGCAACATGACCCTTCTTGTCACCATAAGCACTCACATCACCCACCCGTGAATCCCCACGAACACCACATCGAACCAAGCCTGCGCCGCCATGAACACTACTGCCCAATTCGGTGTCTCAAGCCCTTCACACCACATCTTGTATGCCTGCCAGATCGATACATGAGCCGCTGCGAGCACCGCCTTCCCAGCAATCCCAACACCGATAGTGATCTTGCGCTTGAGAACCGAGCCGCTTTCATTGTCATGCGCGATAAACACGAGATAGGCGATCCAGAAGCACGTTGATACTACGAGAGAGATGGATGCGAAATACGGAAGGAGGGGCGCGGTGTCAGTGTGTGGGGTGTGAGGCTGCGTGAGACGTCAATAGAGGACTATCAAACCTGGTTGATTACTTACGGGATCCGCTTGCGTACCACTGCTTCGACTTGCCCAGATAGTCGCAAAGATAGCGCTGACACATGAGACAAACACGAAGAGAGTATTCATCAGTGCGCGAGCGGCATTGGTGTGCTTTCCAACAAGACGGTATTCGCTTGAGCGGGGGCGCTGGGTAGCTGCGCCGTAGGAAGGCAGGAGAGGTTCTTGTGACATGGTTTGGAGTGTGTACTGCGTATGTCTTGATACTTGCTGCTAATAGAGAGAGTGTGCAGTTTGTGTTGGAGCTCTCGAAGAGGAAGTGGGGTAATTGGGGCGTGGTGGTACAGATGAGTAAGGCTCAGCTTGACTGCTGTCCGAGCTCATGAATTGAAGCTAGTCTAAGAAAAAAGGTATTCTCTATCAACTGCACAAGAATCGTCTACCGCTTTATGAAGTCAGATTATCCTCTAGCAGTCTCAAAAAATATGTATCCCAACTCACATAATCTATCGTTTCCTCTTCTCCTCCTCCAACTTCTTAGCCGCAGCCTTCTTCGCCTTCTCCCTCCTCCCCACCGCCGCTTCCGCACCAATACCACCAAACACTAGTCCAACACCTAGCCACTGCATGCCAGTAATCTCATGACCGAACCACCACACACTCCAAACCATGGTCAGCATCTTCCTCGTAACCGTCACTGTAACAAGCAGCAATGAGCTAAAGTGGGCTAGGGTGTGGAAGATAAAGACCTGGCCTATAGCGCCACAGGCGGAGAACATGAGGACGTCCCAGCCGACAGCGGGGTATGTTGTTATGAACGAGAGCGCGTCGGAGAGTTCACCGGATGAGGAGCGTGGGTCAAGGCCGATCCAGCCAGCGAGGGGCGTGGATGCAAGGAGAGGTGTGATGAGGAGGTACGACACTGTCAGGGCTGTCGACATGATGTTCTGGGCGCACATCATCTGGGGTCCAGTGAAACCTTTGAAACTGCTGAAGATGTGATCTTGGACCGTGTTCGTAAGGCCGTCGAAGAGAAGATTTACCCCGAGCAGAATTAGACCAATAGTTTGCGAGGCGTCTGCGCTGACACCCTTCTTCGCGGCCTTCTTCGCCGTGGACGGGCTGTGTAGTGTAAAGACTGCGACACCGAGAGTCACGAAACCGACGACGGCGTACTTGTACATTGGGTATCGCTTCTGGAAGAGCGAGATGTGGAGGAACATGACCGGGAGCAGTTTGCAGCTCTTGGCTAGGATGAAGGTGACGTAGTCAATGTGCTTGAGACTTGCGTATCCGAAGGGGGACGCGAGCGATGATGTGAGGGCGATTCCGAGGAGCGGCATGAGGATGTCCTTCGAGGGGAAGATGGGTAGCACCTTGCGCACGCCGGTCTTGGGGTCTTTCTTCGCGGAGAGGTTGAGGTAGAGGAGGCCGGTGATGGCAGCGAAGGCGGATTGGACGGTGTTGAGGAAGATGGAGTACGTGAAGCGCTGGTTGCCGGGACCGTGGGTCGTGGTTGTCAATCGCTCTTGGATCCATGCCCAGGTCATGCTATCCTGTGTTAGCTACCTCATACACGGAAAAAGCTGAACATGCCTGCAGCCTACATGGACGTAAAAACGTACAAAGTAGGCGACGTAACGTCAACATAGGCTCCAGAATGACTTACAAACTTCCATATATACCAGCGACACAGATTACCAACTGGAACAGCCCTGCTTCCTTTTGCTCCTGAGGGTTCCGCGCATGGAGCTCTGCTTGCTCTTCCAGCTTCTGCTCGATCGAATGCACCGCGCCGTCCAATTGGTGGGCGCCATCCAGTTGATGCGCATCTCCCTTCGCGATTCCATTCGTCCCGTTGACCTTGCGACGAGAAGCTTCCGCCATTGTGTGCTGTATCGTGGGTCTCGCTACTGACGTCGTGGGAGTTGGTTGAGGAAGGCGCGCGCCGCGTTCGTGTTGGGGCGTGTCGCGCTTTGTCTAAAAGAGTGGACTGCGCGATGATAATGCGCGAGGGATACAGAGAAACAATGTTTCTTGAGCGACTGTGGGTCAGTGGAAAGTGTACACCTGGCTTTAGGTTTAGATTACACCTGCGCCATAGGCAGTTCTAAGCTTCAACCGTGGCATCAAGTGGCCGGGGCTAAGACGGAGTTAGAAGCGAGCGAGCACGGGCCGTGTTTGAGCCTCAGGGATCGACTCGACCGGGGCGCGCCACCCACTCGCTAGTGTGTGGAGCGAGCGCCGCTTCACTGCGAGCTGGAGGAGCACACACATGATGCAAAGGGCGCCAATCTGGCGGCTGAGTTTTCATGAGGTTGTGTCATTTATTGTGGGAGAAGGTATCTACGCATAGTCTGGAAAAGGCATCAAAGCCTTCTCCGCGCTTACCGCTCCAGCCGTTCATAAGGTCGTGAAAATATGCTCGCTAAAAAAGAAGATCCAAGGCCAAACGCCAGCAGATGCAGCCCCCACTCTGTTCCGGGGCCCAGAAGGCAAGCTCACGCCTCACCTCTGACAATCTTCGAAACAGCGCTCTTGACCAGCACCCACATTGGCCCAGCGTTGACTTCCTTGCCGCCGCCCTCCTCCATCCCGCACTTCCTCTTCCACGCATCTCTCCACCCTCGCTCCGTATCCTTTTGCTTGAGCCTCATCAGCTGCCCCGCTCGCTTTCCTTGCCTTCTGTACCCCGCCATGAATGCGTCCCATTCTTTCCTCTCCTTGACGAAGACGACTACTCCGTTGCCTGCATCGATAGGCTGGCTGCCTCTAGATAGAATCCGCGCTTCCCATGCGCTGCCCATGGACTGAAACGTGAAGTTCGCGCTATGCAAGACGTAGTAGCGCTTCCGCTTGCCGAACTTTGACGCAGCGTTGGAGGAGGGCGTGATCCAGTGTGTTGCGCGTGAGTAGATGCCGTCTGCCAGTGCTTCGTGGAGAAGCTCTGAAGGGATGTACTGGCGGCACTGAAGAAGCAACTTGTTACGCAGCAGACTGATGTCGATGTCTGGGTGGGCGGTAGGTATTTGTGGCGAATGAGACAACAGTGCTTTGGTCTGCGTACGCGTTGATCGCGCTGGTGGCTTGGATATGCGTCCTGATGCTCGAATGACAGTGACTGGGTTGCTGAATTGGTGAGGGGTAATCGTCTGCGTTTGGATGGGCGCCATGATAGTCGTGGTGCTCAGTTGAGAGTGGTGTGTGCTTTGTAGGCGGTGTCAAGTCTCGTAGGCTTCAAACCGTGAATCCGTATGGTGTCGTCTGGTAAGGAAGTTGCGGATGGAGTAAGGAATATTGTGGAGGAGCAGAAGCGAGGCAGAGAGGGAACATGCGGTCAAGAAATCATCTTTAACCATCATGCACCCCTTCCTAGAAGAGCTAGCTCCTGAAAAGAAACAGCTACTACCCAGCCTTCGGAAATCAGTCGGGGTGCCAAATCTGTCTCTGCCCTAGTCTACCGCCTGCCCGCGTCTGGCGTCTGGGCGATCCTGGAAGGATTAGCGAGGCACACGAAGCCTGCCTGCCGAACCTCACCGTGGGCGAGCATCCCGCGCCTGCAGCGTTTGTCGTTCGAGCTTGTGCTGCTCCAAGGACTTCTTTGACGGAACACCTTCCTCTCACTGCTGAACCCTCTGTGGAAAGCTCAGTTGTTGTGGCGAAGACATCGTGCTCAGGTGCTCAGCGTCCGAGCGTGACACTAATGACGTATTCCCGATTGGAGGGTCCAACGGTTCGGAACATCTGGGCAGCCTCGTTCTGCACGTGCAATGCTGCACTCATTTCCCCTTGGGCAGCACCATCATCAAACGTTCGCAAGTACCACATCACGTTACGAGTAGTTCGCAGTCTAGACACTATCATCATAGAATTCTAAATATTGGTAGTAGATGTTGTTTGTTTGTATCGGAGTGTCGGTAGGGGAGCAAGGGAGAGGGAAGGGTTTCGGGTAAGGAGTGAGGGAGTGATTAGGAAGGTACATCGGAGTGTCGGAGTAGAGCTCGGGACGTGGTGAGAAGCTTCTCACTTCTTCCCAACTCTTCTTCGCCAAGAAAACCCAAAGATGGATGTCAGAGCTGCTACCCTTGAGCAGATGTACTATCCGGATATCAAAGGCCATAACGTCATGACATTCGTGAGCCGCTCAGCGTGCACTCAGTTCTCTCTCGACAATAGTAAGAAAAGTAAATAATGCTCCAGACAATCCGTGGTATCCATCAGTAACAGCAAGTAAGAAATTCAGCAATTCCATGCTTTTGTTGTCGGTTTTCGTGGTCTCCGTTTTGGGAGACATGAATGCAGATGGCGACGGACGTGAAGAGCTGGCGACTGATAGCGAGGCCTGCACGGCCTCAAGCTATCTTGCACCTCCCAAGAGGGTTGGCAATACCCAACGGCGCCGACGTTGGGTAGCAGATGCGCTAGAGAGCGGTCTACTCCTGGGCCTGGCTGCGGCGCATCTTCTCGGCCTCCAAGTTCTCGTACAGCAGATAGAGCGCCTTCTCATTGGCACTGGCACTACCAGTGATGGTGAACATGCGCTCGCCGGTGTCATCGTGAGGTGCCTTGGCGATGGAGATGCGGGCGTTGGACGTCTTGCGGATCTCGCTGATCTTGCTACCGCCGCGTCCGATGATACAGCCGACCATGTCAGACGGGATGCTGATGTTCTGGGTCTGCATCTCTTCGCCATCCTCGGTGTGCGTTGGGGGCGGGGGCCTGCTGGCGGCATCGGAGCCAGATCGTCGAGAAAAGGCAGGAGGCGAGTCACTGAAATCAGCGCCGTGACCAGTGCGGTTGTACGAGCGTCCGCCCATACCACCGGCGGGTGCGCCACCGCCGTTGGACAGAGGGACCGGACCAGCACCAGGCTGAACCCTGACGGCGGGGTTGTAGAGGACAGTGCCGTAGCCGCGCTCGTGGTCGTCGATGAGGCACTTGCCAATTTCCCAGATAGCCTTCTCGATACCGCCGGGCGAGCCCTGGACTTCGACGATGCGCTCGGTAGACTGGGGGAGCATCTCCTTCTGTGCGACCATGCGCACGCCGGAGGCATCCTGGATCTGCTTGATCTTCAGGCCCTGGCGACCAATGATGGTGCCCATTTGGTTGTGCGAGATGAGCAGGCGGATGGCTACAGAAGTTAGCTTGGTATCAGCGCTTGAACGCAGCCATGTCGCTGGGAAGCGCCGGGGTGTCGCAATTGTACGTACGATGAGTGCCGTCGGTGCGGATAACGCCGCCCATGCCCATAGCAGGGGCGCCCTCGAGCAAGCCTTTGGCGACTAGGCCATACGCCTTGGAGATGCCAGAGAGGCTACCGGTAACGGAGAGGACGCGATCGTGGACACCTTGGACGACCTTGCTGACACCGGCGCGCACGCCAGTCTCGTCGCGCAGGTCAGCGACGTTCTTGCCCGCCTTGCCTATGATGACTCCGGCCTCCTTGGACGAAACAATGGCTCGGAGGGTAAGCTGCGACTCAGCGTATTCCTCTTCGGTGCGCGGGACTACTTCGCCCTCGCCGTCCATGTTGAGGCGGTCCAGCTGGTCGGCGACGCGGCTAGCATCCTGACCGGGGCCGGGTTGGGGCTCTTCTGAGGACATGTTGTGGGGATGGCCTAGGGACGGGCTGCAGCTGCGGTCAGTGACGTAGTTTTGCGACGCGCGCACTATCGCGATACTTACAAGAGAAGAAGGTGGGTCGCGGAGACAGAGAAGAGAGCTGGGTGTGCTGCGGCGGAGGGGTAGGAGAGGACGAGTCGAAATTATCGAGGCTATCGTGCTACGTATCAGCAATTGTGTCAAAGGCTCGTGTTTGGGAGTGTGCATGGAAGCTACTCACTGGCGACTACGGAAGTGGCGGGGGAGGTGGTCGGTGCGGGATAGCGGACAGATAGGTAAGAGGGGGAGGGCGCAAGGGTAGGTGGGAGGGAGCGGAGAGGAGGATTGGGGGACGCGTGGGAGAAGAGAAGAGGCGTGTTGGCGGAACCTCTCTGGAGCGTGCAGATAGAGTGGAGGTAAGGTGACGGAGGGGAGACGAAGCCCTGGGTCTGCGCAATATTAGGGCGGCAGGATGTAGCTTTCCTTAGCGAGACGGACGAGCCTTGCCCTATTCACAAACATTGCAGGTGCTGGGAGACACTGCAGGGGATTCGGCGCAATCGCTGTCCTCGTGCAGCAGGCGGCACTGAATCTACGGGAGCAATCACCATGCATGGCCTGCATGCCGGCGTGAATGCATCAAGCTGTTCGCAACTCTCGCGCGCCCCATCACCGAACACAGAACAGAATAGACCCCGCGTGCACGAGCCCCGAAAACGGCCAAGGCCCCGCGAAGATGCAGCTAAATCCAGCATTTTCAGGGTACTGGCTAGCCACGACTAGAATGTGAATGTATCGTGCCGCTGAATTCCATGATTGGCTGAGATGCGCGGGTTTTCTGCCTTCCATTGTTCGATTGAGACTAGGCCTTCACCACGCCTACGTATGCAGCGGCCTCCCAACACCACCCAATGCGCGCTCACACATCAACCAACGCCAGCTCGTGCTTTATCCACTCTCTCAAACGCCGTATCATAGCCTCACACCGCCTCAACACCATTCAATGCAGTCAACCTGCATGCGCCCTACTTTTGCGCCTCGAAAACGACCTTCTGCACCTTCATCTTGTCGAATAACTCGTAGCCCTCAATGGCGTCGCTCAACGGCATGACTTTATCAGCCATAAAGCTGTCACATATTAGTCAGCGGCTTACACTCCTGCATTATCATCAAACTCACCCAAGCTTATCCTGATGCCTCTTCAAGCTGTCAAGTGCTTCCTCAAACACACTTCTCACAGGGCACCTTCCCATCTGAACTCTGACGTTCTTTCCATACGCCTCATTTCCAGACCAGGGTATCTCGCCGTTGTGAACTCCGACCGAGCTGATGACGCCCCAGGGTCGGATCAATTCGTATCCCATTCGAAGCGCAGGAGACAGACCGACCACTTCGATGACAATGTCTGCTCCCCGGCCGTCTGTGAGCTCCTTGACGCGCTTATCGAGACCCTCACGATCAGTCTGGAAGTTCCAGGGTTCCGCACCCAGTGACTTGGCAAGTTCGAGGCGCGAAGGTACTGAGTCGACAGCGAGAATGTGCTTTGGCTTGTAGTCGGTGATGTTGCAGAGCGCGCAGAGAGCTACGGGACCGCAGCCAATAAGCACAACGACGCTGTCCTTGATCTCCTCGGGAGTGGAATATTGGAAGCCGTTCTTAGCTGCAAACATGCCTGTTGGGAAGATGTCTGCCATAAGAACCAGTGCCTCGTCTTTGATGCCAGGTGGTGCTTTGACGGCTGTGGAGTCTGCGAGGGGAATTCGGACGTATTCTGCCTGGCCGCCGTCTAGGGCAGGGCATCCAAAAAGCTGACATTTGACGCATCGCGAGGAGAAGCCGTGGGTGCAGTAGAAACACTCGCCACAGCATGTTGTGAAGGGAGAGACGACATGGTCGCCAACTTTCAAGGTCTTTACCGATGAGCCTACTTCGTGAACGTGACCGGTAAACTCATGGCCCATTACAAAGTCGGTAGCAGATGGCTGATGACCGCGGAAGACGTGTAATTCGCTTGGAGTAAATGTCAGAGATGCTGTTGTTATAGGTGGTGACTTTCAGTACCTGCCGCATAATGCCGTCTGAAGAATAAGAATTAGTAGGAGGTGATGGTATTGATCAGCGTACGTGCCTTTTCAACTTTCACGACAACATCTCCTGCATCTTGAATCTTCGGAATTGGTCTGTCTTCAATCACCACCTTCCCCGGTCCCTTGAATACGACTGCTTTCATGCCGTGCCTCTTGGTATGTTGTCAGGAGTAATTATCGTTATTGAAAGTGAAAAGAAAAGATTGTGATCAGGAGATTCAGGAGAAAAGCAGATGTAATTCAAGAAACTGCCTGCAACCAAGTGGAGCTTGTGGACTAAGTACAGGGCGCACGCCCTGACGACATCGGAGGCGCGAAATGCTCCTCGGTGATGATGTGGTGTGGTAGCTCCTACCCCGCCGAGGTTCGACTGCGGGGTAGAGAGGATGGGCAGTGAGAGCACATTGGCTGCAGGCGTGTATAGTAGCTTAGATAAAAATCGCTAAGACAGTACGCGAATCCTGAGAGGTTGATCAAGGAATGTTTCGACCCGCGTCTTGGGTTGCTGTCGGGTGCCCCAGTTCGCGACGTGGCTACACCTTATCCAACTATTAGATTTTTGTAGGTAACTATAGCCGCTAGCTAGTTAAGGTTGTTAGGGGTAGAATAAGGCGTAAGCGATAGTTAGATTAGATAGAATTATTCTCTATATAGCTTAGCGTACTATATATAAAAGAAAACTAAAATCTAGCTCTAGAACGTATTAATAATATATTTATATTTTATCTTTGTAGAAACTATAGAAGCGCTAGTACTCTTTCTACTAGTATTTAACGCTAAGTAGCTTAAAGTACCTTTACTACTCTTTAAGAACGCGTTTAAGAACCTAGATATAGCCTTCTTAGACCTTAAAATAGCTAATAATATACTAAGTAAGAAGAGTAACTCTAAGCTAATTTAACCTATATACTACTTATAACGTCTTTATATTACGTTCTTAATATAATTTAGAAGAACTTTATTCTACTCTCTATAAGTAGTAATAGTAGTCTAGGTCTAATAGTAATATTATATAAGTATATTATAAGTATACTAATATAGCCTAAAAGTACACTAGATAGCTACGTATATATTATCTACCTACTACCTACTTATATAATATAAAAAGATACCTTAGGTAAGGCTATTAATATAAGAGGCCTAAAAACGTAATATTAACGTGTTTCTAACATAATCTAGTTCTAATATAGAAAGGCCTAGAAATATAAAGAGCGTATATTCTCTTTACTTTTCTTAAATATAATTATATAACGTTAGAAGTATATTTATATAGGTATTAAGTATTATACTACACTTACTAAGCTACTTAAAGCTTATTATTATTCTAAAATTATACTTAAAGTAGAGAATATACTTAGAAGTCTAAGAGATACTATTATATCTAATAATAGAATAACTTGCTAGAAGTAGGTAGCTAGGTACGTTTAACGTATACGTAACGTATTCTTAACGCGCTTCTACTAACTTTAAAGGCTCTACGCTATAACTCTTAGACGCTTTATAGGTAGTAGATCTTATAGTAACTAGTAACTAAACTATAGATCTATATACTTCTAATAGTAATATAAAGTAAGAGATACTATAAATAGAAATACATTTATAACACGTAGTAACTAAGTTATAGAGTCTTACTAGTAATAAACCTTAGTTTATTAAGTGTATAGCCTAGATATATAAACTTAGATATACTAAGAAGTATATCTTCTGCGCTGTTAGTTCTAAAATAGACCTAAAATACCTTAAGAACTTATTTAATAATAGCTCTCTAGCAGAGAAAAATAATAAAAGAGTATATAATACTATAGTATTAATATCTACTAGAACTCTAAGGTATAGTAAGTAACTTTATACTATATTACGTTTAGCGCACGTTTATAATACGTTTTAGAACATAACTACCTCTATAGAAATAAGTAGCTAGTTAAATAAGTATATAATAAGGCTAAGTACTATATTATAATTCTAGTAGATCTAGTATCTTATCTATACATAATTATAACGTGTTATAGAGAGTATATATATATCTCTTCTTTTTCTTTAATTCTAAGTAAAGACCTAAAGGCTAAGCTTCTTATAGTTATTCTTTCTATGTTAACTCTAGGTCTTATACGTAGTAAGTCTACTTTCTACGCTTCTATAATATGTTATAATAACATTCTAATTACGTTTAGCTAAGGCTTTAGTATTCTTCTAAGTCTAGGTATAAGTTAAGAGTAAAGGCTTTAGGTCTATTAAGAAGATATATATTATACTAGCAAATAAGAATAAAATTAGAAGCTTACTTAAAACCTGCAAAGCTATAATATACCTCTATAGCTCTAGTGTAGAAGGCGTTATACACAAGCTTAGAACTAAGTATTAAGATCTAGCTATAGTAAGTAGCTAGTAACGCGCTAGAAACGTGTTTCTAACATAATATAGGCGTATATCTAACAAATATACTCTACTAATAATAGTATATTTATATACTACTTTCTTAATAAGTAAGCCTTTCTATTACTTTAATAAAATACGTTCTAAATAGACATATTATATAAGCGTATCTATAGTAAGTAGTCTAAGTTACTCTTTGCTATCTTTAATAAAGATACTATAAAATATAGGTAAAAGTATATTAACGCGTCTATAATATATTCTAAATATAATATAGTAATTTCTTTTAGAAAGGTTATTATAGACATTAATTCTATAGAAATATATATAGAGGTATTTACTAAGTTCTTTAAGCTCTATTTAGAGGTGTTAGAAAAGCTAATTTACTTCTACTATCTTTATAAAGACAGTATTATAAGTATTACTATTAATATAGATAATAAATAGTTATAAGGTTAGTTATATTTTAATAGATTATATTAAGAATACGTTACTAACATAATTCTATAGGCTAGAGACTCTTTCTCTAAGAATTTTTAAAAGTTAACTATAGATAGAAATAGTATTATCTTTATATAGTTTGCCTATATAAAGCTTACTTTCTCTATAGTATTAACTACGCTATTTCTAATGTAGAGTATATAGAATACTCTATTTAGAGGTGTATAAAAGCTCTTCTTTATTATAAATTACTAGATAAGTATTATATCTATATTAGGCTTCTATAAGGTATAAAACTTCTTTTAATTATAAATATAATATATTCTTATAATATAGTAGAGAATAAATCTAAGGTAGTTGTAGATTAGGTAGCTTATAAGGTATACTTTATTATTATAGGTAGTCTTGTAAAGTGTAATAACTATATAGAGTAACGTATTTAGAACTTGTTAGAGCGCACTTCTAACGTAGCTAAGTAAGCTAGTATAAAGTTATATTATAATAAAATTAATAAGACTTTACTTAAGGCTATTCTAATATAAGTACGTTTAAATATATTAAGAACGTGCTAGTAACGTGTTATAGCTTCTATAAGTAAGACTTCTAGAATATAGAGAAATATAAAGTAAAAATAGTCTATAGCGTCTACTATAAGAATAGATTACGCTATAGTTATATATAGAGATACTTTAAGGCTATAGAAAAAGAGAATAAGTCTGCTGCGTACAACGTATTTTATACGTAGTCTTATTAAGTTTAGAGTAGAAATTAGAGTACTAGAATCTTATTATTATTAATAATAATAATAGTATCTTAGAGTAGGCTAATTTATCTAGTTTTATTATATAGAGTAGATAACTAAGAGGTAGAGGCTGCAGGCGCTCTTCTCTAGCCTGCTCTTCTCTAGTCTACTCTTCTCTAGCTTACTTCTCTTTAGCACTAGAAGCTAGCCTAGAGTAGGTCTACTATATTGCGTTCTTATTACGTTTCTAATACGCTCTTAAGCCTAACTCTTCTTAAGCTCTAAGGTAGTAGATACTTAAGAGTAACTAGACTATTATAGAAAGAAGAGCGCTTTTAGAAATTAAAAGAGAGAAGATAGAGCTATAGAAGTAAAGACTACAACTAGAGAAACGTAAGGTAGAACTAGAAGAGCGTAGATAGTAGCTTTAGAGAGATAACTCTAGCTAAATTATACTATAAACGCGTTCTAATTATAATCTAGTATAGTTACTATATATACTAAAGTCTATAGATAGAATACTAGCTAGTAGAACGTAATAGAAATACGTTATATATATAATCTAAGCCTATATTAATCTTTACCTAATATAGTAAGGCGTAATAAATTTCCTCTTACTAGCCTAGCCTCTTGCCTTTCTTTAGAGTTAAGCGCCTACCTACTACTATTCTTTCTCTCTCTACCTTTTCTCTTTACTCTACTATAGAACTTAAGACTATATATTAGCATGTAAGTCTTCTAATAACGCGTTTCTAACGTAATTTAATTATATTTAGAATAACTATCTATAGTATAGCTAACTTAGTGTTCTTTCTTAAAAGATACTACTATTTAGTAAATATAATAGAAGTAGATATTACCTTATCTACTAGAGAGAGATCTTTTATTGCGTTTACTATTACTAGCTTAATAGGCTGCTTTATAGTGTAAGTGCGCTAAAATTATATATAGAATATATACTTATAATATTATAGTAGTAGTTTAGTAACTATAGTGCGCTAGTAAACTATATTAAAAGATACTACTCTAACTACCTAGTAGCGCTTATACCTATAGAGTAATTATTAATAAAGTAAGAAAGAGAAGTAATATTCTTCTTTAGAGGTATTATTTTACTAAGAGACTCTACTTTTAGAGTATCTATAAAAGACTTACTAGAACGTATTTCTAGCGTAATTCTATTACGTTTACTAGCTAAGATATAGGCTAAAGTATAGTATAAAGCACTACTTTAGCTAAACTAACCTCTACTACTCTAAGAACGCGCTTTTCTAGACTTAGACTATAAGCTTCTATAGGTAGATAGCTCTAAGTATAATATCTTACTATAAAGTAAAGCTAAAAATAATATAAACGTATCTACTACACGTTCTATATTAACTCTACTAGCTACGCCTCTAATAAAAGTAATACGCAAAAGAAAGAAAGATAAAGCGTAGAAGAAAACTATAGAAGCTTTAATTTCTATTCTACTCTATAAGTCTACTAACTTAAAGCGTAAGTAGAAGAAAAGTAATATATATATCTTCTCTAACGCGTAGTAACTACGTTACTAATATATATAGGTAAATTTAAATAAGGTTAGACGCCTACTTTTAAACTAGAAGCTTCTAACCTAATATAAGACCTATAAATTAAAGAAGAGAGATAGTTAGTAAACCTATCTCTCTAGTAAACGCGTTACTTATATATTATAGAGTGTTATCTAGAGGTCTTCTACTAATTAAGAAGATACTTTACTTTTCTAGATAGATAGTTAGCTTCTTTTTTTAATATATTATTATAATATTATATACTTCTATAATTAGATTAATATATCTATAAGAAATATTATATAAACGCATTATTAGCGTATTTTACTACTTAACTTAGTAATAGGTATAAGTTTTAGTATTTCTATCTATGCGTAGCTACGCGTAAGCTACGTATATGCTCTATAGCTATCTAGGTTATATAATACTAAGCGCATTAGTTATAGATTAAGTAAGTTTAAGTAAAATATAATAATATTATAATTATAACGTAATAGTTTTTTTTTAGCTACTACTAACTCTATTACCTACTAACTACTACCTTAAATTACTACTACTCTCTATAATACGTTATTAATAAGATAGTAACACGTTTCTTAATAAGATAGCTAATTATAGTTATCTACTTTCTCTAGGCTCTAGCGCTATAGTAAACTATATAAGTTTTATATAAATATAACTAGAAGACGTATCTAATATATTTTAGCCTGCCTATTACGCCTACCTTACTTTACTTACTCTACTTCTTCTATACCTACTCTTTAAGAAGAACGCTAATAGTAAGATCTTAATTTAATATACTAAGCAGCGCTATAGGCACGCTCTAGAGAATAGAACTCTCTATAGTATAAGTCTTTAAAATATATCTTCTATATATTACTAATATATTTAGGCTATTATAGGTTCTTATAGCTCTCTTATAACCTACTATATTAACTAGTATAGCTCTATTATCTAGAGTAATACTTACTCTCTAGGTAGAAGGCCTAGCGCTGCCTTTATCTATAGTAAAAAGAGTACGTAAATATATTATCTATATATTTGTAATATATACCTCTTCTCTTCTAAGTCTTTTTCTTTTTTTACTTTTTTCTTTATTTTTATTCTTAAAGTTTTTCTCTTTCTTTTTTTTACCTTTTTTCTTTATTAGCAAAACGTAATATAATTATAATTCTAATATATTTTAGAGTTCTATTAAATCTTAATAGATAACTATAACTTTAAGTATAACTACTTACTTAAATAAGTACAAGACAACGCCTTAGTTTAATAAAATATTCTAGCCTAGGTCTAGTACCTTATAAACCTAGTCTACTATTAAAATAGTTATTTTTAAAAATAGGTAACGTGTTCTCTATATATTTACTACGCGTTTCTATACTTATAATTCTTAGCTTTATCTTACTACTATAAAAGATATACTTAATACTTATACCTTTTTTAATCTCTACGCTAACTACTACGTTATTAGCTATAGTAAGCTTTCTTAAAATATATTTAATACGCTCTACTAATATATTATAGCGTATAACTTCTAAGAGAATAAAGATAATAATAAGAATTTTTATCTCTTTTATACTTACTTTAACTAGGCTATAGGCCTCTAGAGTATTTCTACTAATACTTACACTAATATACTACTCTAGCGTAACACGTTTATATTATATTTAGTATATAATTTAATTAGTAATAATAGAACTATAATACTCTAATATATTTTCTTTACTTACTCTTTTTTATTTCTGCTATAATAACTTATAAACATATTGTGCAGTATTTATGCTAGTAAGCGCTAGCCTAAAAGAAGTCTTGGCAATAGTTAGGCTAGTTTTTTTGATGGTCGGATAAGCTGCGCTCTCGTTCGCGACGGACTCCGACAAGCTTGAAGTTCGACGTAGCTCTCCGTCTCCTTCCGCACCAGTACTTCGGTATAGCGATAGGAAATTGTAACAACGCTATAGAGTGCAACATACCATGTGAATCCACATGAACGCCTTGTCCAAAGCTCACCAAAATCCAAGCGTGTAAACACCATCCGGGTAAACAAGCCGTATCGCAGTATCCAATCCAAAACTCCCAGCAAATGCCCTTTCAATATGACGTCGATGCTGCGTAGTAGAGTTCCGTCTTCAGGTGACGGTGCACAGAAGCTCTTCCTCCAAGATGAACTTGCCCTCCTTGTACTTTTCACTGGCTTCATACGCCTTATCGTATTTCCAGCCGACGGTCTCCTTGCATTGGCGGCAGTGGATGTCGCGTACTATGTGACGTCCCGTGGTCATATTGCGCTCGTTGGGGTCTGACTCGGTGATGTTGACGACGGTATCGAAGAGGTACGCCTTGCCGTGTTGACCGCGGAAGTTCTCATGACGGTTAGCGATATGGCTACGTGTGGGAGTTCAATATGCGCTCACCCTGCTGAGTATGTCGTCATGGTTGGAGAGATGCGTCTTGCAGTTCTTGCAGCCATAGATGCGCGACGTGGTCGAGTTGAGGTAGATGTTGTACGTGAGGCCCATAGTGATAGACAGGCGATCCGACGCGTGAATCGAGGGCTGCTGCGGCGTGGGAGTTGTGTCGAGACCGTGGCGGTAATCAGAACGGTAGTCAGAGGTGGCCACTCGTTGTTGGTCGCCGCCGGTCATACGTGCTGTTGGCGCGGGTGCAAGGGGAGAAAGGTGGCGGGGAGCTAGCGGTGAAGCGTTTGAGGGGCCGATGGTTGTGGCTCCCGCTGTTGCGCCCAAGCGCGATTGCTATCTTGGGATGTGGAGTGAAGCTTTGGACCTGGAGGTGACGGCGCGGTCCCTGATGGCACGTGCGCGTCAGTTGGGCGGGATGACGAAGACGAGGGGCACAGCCGGGTAAACACTTGGGCAGGTATGAGATCGGATGCTCTACGGATATCTATGTGGCATGTGCTGTGACTTTGTGGAACCAGGTAACGAGTTCCATGGGAGCCTGACAGCTGCTGAGCTAGTGCATGGTAAGATGGTGTGTAGTCAGCTGGTGACGCACGTGAGGGCACGCTGAGCTGGAATACCCAGGTAGTCCGGATACAGTCGTGTCAATGAGAACCGATAACATGAACAGTCGACTAAATGGAAAGCATCTCCTGCATCAGATCATTGACAGACACCCTGTGACAAACCACAGCCACGTCAATTTGCCTGTTCGGGAGATCATTGTCGGTCTTGCTGCCTTTGAACGTCTCTCCGCAACGGCGAGTCATCGTATAAGCGCTTGTCTACCTCAAGTCATCTTCTCGGTGTTGTTGTTGCCATGGCCGAGTGTGTGCATGCACCTGCAAACAGAGAGCGTTTTACATTGGCACACAAAGAAGCAGGCTGGTGGTTGAGAGGCCAGCGCATCGACGATGAAAAGGACGATGAGCGTTGGTAGTGGACAGACTGTCGCATCCTCTATGCAAGGTATTGTTGTCGTCTGTTGATACTGCGCGCCCCAGCCTCTCTCCGCGGATTGGGCGAGTCGGATGCCCCACTCGAAGTAGTCCTGGAGTCCCACAGCGTATAGTCGCGTGTCGAGAGTGAGAGAAAGGTAATTGCAGAGCGTTTACCGCTTCCGCGACGTGACAACGGGCAGTAAGTCGGTGCCGCATGCAGGGCGATTGGCGTGGTAGGCGACTATCAGCCCAGCCTTCCGATGCACGTCCGCTGCGGCTTGACTCTGTGGCAGAAGTGCTAGCGGGCTTAACCTCGCTGATATGGAACATTCTAGCAACGTTTTTAGGACCAAAATCCCAGCTTAATTTTTATCCGCCCTGGATCTCAACCAACAGTCGCTGCAGCCAGACTAATTTTCTAGTGACACCGTCCAGGCCGCTATCCTTCCGCAGCTCGCCCCCATGGTTCTTCCCTCCTTCTTCGCATCCTCAAAGAAGTCGTCCAAGACCAGAGATATCCCCAACCTTGCCCCCCGACCCTCCCCCCAGGCTAACTCAGGCACCCCTCCGGCCTCGCCTGACAAGCACACCCACTCCAAGGTCAAGGACCGGGAACGCTCCTCCAGCCGCCGCTCGAGCTCCTACTCGTCCAAGCGCTCGTCCAAGTACGACCGCGACTCCCACCCGCTAAACCTCCCGCCCGAGGAGCGCCAGCGCCTGTCCTCGCAGATGTCCGCCATGGACCAGCCCACGCCCCAGCCAATGGACGTGGACCGGGACCACTCGTCCTCGCCCGCCCCCTCGAGCCCCGTCGCCGACACGCCCAAGACGAATGGCGCCAACGGCGCCCCCGACGGGCCTGCTCCTCCACCACACCGCTACACGAAGAGCCCGCCGCCGCCCACTGCAAACTACGCCGCGACCCCCGAGGCTGCCACCCCGCCCGCTGAGCCCCCGACGATAGACGCCGAGGAGTACAAGGCGGCCGGCAACAAGTTCTTCAAGATCAAAGACTACCCGCGGGCCATCGAGGAATACTCAAAAGGTGCGTAGTGATACTGGCCATGCTCTAGCCGAAGCTTTGCACTACAGTACACCGGGAGAGCTTCTGGCTAACCAATCCGCAGCGATCGAAGCCGACCCCAAAAATGCCACCTACTACTCGAACCGGGCCGCCGCCTACATCTCCGCCAACAAGTTCTACGAGGCCATGGAGGATTGCAAGATGGCCGACGAGCTGGACCCCAACAACATGAAGATCCTCCTGCGGTTAGGCAGAGTATACACCAGCCTGGGCCGGCCGGACGAGGCTGTGCAGGTGTACGACTCCATCAATGCCACGGCCAAGGACAAGCAGCCTGCGTTGACAATGCAGAAGCACCTCCGCATGGCCGAAGACACATCACGGAACGAGGGCTCGGGTTCCATGGTCATATACGCCCTCAACGAGGCTGAGAAGGGTCTCGGCGCTGGTGTAGACAAGCCCCGGAAGTGGCAGCTTATGCGGGGAGAGGCACATCTGCGCATGGGCAATGCCAATGCTCTTGGAGAGGCACAGAACGTAGCCATGTCGCTACTGCGGTACAACAACCAGGACCCTGACGCCCTCGTACTGCGCGGCCGCATCCTATACGCCCAGGGCGAGAACGACAAGGCTGTGCAGCACTTTAGACAAGCACTGGCATGCGACCCCGACTTCAAGGCCGCTGTCAAGTACCTGCGCATGGTGCAAAAGCTGGACCGCATGAAGCAAGAGGGCAACGCTGCCTTTAAGTCCGGCAGGTACCAAGAAGCCATCGACACCTACACGCAGGCACTCGCAGTCGACCCCTCGAACAAGGGCACAAACTCCAAGATCCTACAGAACCGAGCCCTGTGCCACAGCCGGCAAAAGAGCTGGAAACAAGCCATTGCAGACTGCGAGAAGGCCCTCGAGCTCGATCCCAGCTACACAAAGGCACGGAAGACCCGGGCGAAGGCCCTGGGAGAGAACGGCAACTGGGAGGAGGCAGTACGTGATCTCAAGGCTATCCAGGAAGAGAACCCATCGGAGCCTGGCATTGCCAAAGAAATCCGCGATGCCGAGATGGAGCTTAAGAAGAGCAAGAGGAAGGACTACTACAAGATTCTCGGTATCGAGAAGGACGCCACAGAGACACAGATCAAGAAGGCATACCGAAAGCTGGCCATTGTCCACCACCCCGACAAGAACCCAGACGACGCGGATGCTGCGGACAGGTTCAAGGAGATTCAAGAAGCACATGAGACTCTGAGCGACCCACAAAAGCGCGAGAGATACGACTCCGGCGCTGATCTTGTCGATCCCAACGACATGTTCGGCGGCGGAGGCATGGGAGGAGGCATGGGCGGCATGGGTGGCGGTATTGACCCAGAGATCCGTAAGTATTCTCATAACCATGAAAGCAAGTTCACGACTAACGCGATTCACAGTCATGCAAATGTTCGGCGGCATGGGCGGAGGTATGGGAGGCGGCCGTGGCGGCGGAGGTGGTTTCCACTTCAGCTCCGGCGGCGGTGGAAGTCCGTTTGGCGGTATGGGCGGCATGCCCAGCGGTGGCCGAAGAGGAGGACCGCCCGGTGGCTTCCCCTTCTAAACGCCCCGATCATACCCACGTAACGACAACCACCACCACGCTCCGTTTCAAACACATCATCCGACCTTTGATTCGTGTGTATACCCTTGGCAGAACATTTCCGACAGATTTCATTCATGGCGTTGGATACAGGAGATGCGCGAGCAGTAGATGCATAGACGGTCGTTTGGATCGCTCTCCTGTATTTGGGTGCGAAGCATTGATTTTCACATTGGCCTTCGAGGGATTTGAGCATTGCCTGGCGTCTCTCATTATTATCTTATGCACGAGATCTGCTTGAGGAAATGAATGCCGCTTGTGACTTGTTGGAAGAAGTAGTGTAGAACGAAATTTCAAAAGTTAACGATCAAGAAGAGAGCGTCTTTGCACATGTTATACTGTATGTATTCGTGATTGTTCTTCAGGGATTGTGATAGTGTCACGAGAGTATACTTGTATGCCGAACGCATCAAGACCTCCATTCCCAGGTACCTCATCCCCCAAAATGCTCCTCGACATGATGCGCAACCGCCGCCTCGTCCCCCTCGAATTCCCCGCAAACTGGGCACGTTGCCATCTCCACCTCCACCCCCCTCACATCTGCATCCCCACCCTGATGTCTCCGATCCGCCTCTTCCAACGCCGCAAAAAGCCCCACGTCAGCTGGCTGTCTCCGAGTCCTGCCTTCATCATAAAGGTACTCGTCCTCATCCCTAATATCTCTCTCCACCCTGCCTCCAACCATCCTCCCACCTGCTCTTCTCATACCTCCGTCACCTTCACCATCCCTACCCAGCCCCGCCCCAGCGCCCCCAACAACAGCCTCGCCCTGCTGTCCCTCGCTCTCACTGACAAGCTTCTGCACCCTCCCCACCCTTCCATCTCGTAACCTCACTTTCACACCTCGCGGATGATCACCCCGCGTTAGCAGATCGGCGACGATACCGCGGACTTGGTGTCCGGTGGGTTGATCCTGTTTGAGAATTATCGAGACGCTTGTTCCGGGGTGGATATATGTGAATGAGGGGACAGGGGGTTCGTCGGGGTCCGGTCTGAAGTTTGGTCTGCCGCGACCGCGGCCTTGTCCTCTGCCTCTAGATGCTCCTCGTCCTCGTCCTCGGTCTGAGATGAGGTTGGAGTCGCCGCGGCCGCGACCGCGGCCCGTGTGGGTACCTCTTGATGATTCTGAAGAAGGCGGTTGCCGGTTTGGACGGCCTCGTCTGGAGGGCGGTTGTTGCATGATGTGTATAGGGTGGGTTTGTTCGCTGGCTCGGAGATGCTGGCGCAGAAAGAAAAGCAGCGTTTAAAAGCCGTCTTAGCGAGCCCTTTGTTCCTCCAATGAACTTTCAATCTCTTTCTCAGGATGTGTTCGGATAGTTATTGTATTCGCCTTCTCAAAATCGCAAAAGACGACTTAAGAACAAGTGCTGGTGAAAATGATCTTAGCTTAAATTGGCACAGAGCTGATCTGATACAGAAAGAAGAGTTGGCGTGAAAGCCCGCATTTGTCGGAAAAACTATTATCCCTGTACAAGGAAATGTTGATGTTGAGATCTTAAACGGGATGAGGATGTTGTAGGATGTTGGTGTTAGGGCAGTTTGCACAGTATTTTAGTGCGCATTACGTCATTCGCTCGCTCCCTTCACATTA